TTAACCAAATAACATAAACGCGTTTTTCCAACCGAACATGGCGAATTTTCGAGAGAGTCGTCGAGATCTTCTTTTCTCAGCCAGGCGTAGCTCGATTGATTACAGCCACTTTTTAGCACAACTCGTATATAGTCCGACATAGTACGTCAGAACAAAGCAAGTAACTTTCCGATTGGCCCTGTGCACACGACGCTACATTGCATTTGGACGGTATGAACGCAATACCTCGCATCTGCAAAGACACGATCGTTATAGCGTAACGCATAGTTGATGCGTGATCACGTAATTATCACTAAGGAAAGGAAGAATCATGTCCGCGAGAAAGATGCAGATACGAGGTGTCGCGTCATCTGCATGCTGGCTCGCTCGCCTAAATGCATCCGTTCGATTTGGCGAACGTCGGGTTCATCGTAAATCGAGAAGTTTGATCGACAGGGACAGCGGCGTGATTTTAGTCTCGATGGTGGCTGCTCGCTTCGGCGCCTAGAACGAAGAAATTTACATGATAGATGGAAGAAGTGATATGCGCGAGGAAACTCGTTGCACGGGGAAAATAATGTAGTAAAAATTACGTTGAAGTTATATTTCTTTTTTCAATGTTCTAGTATAAATTACTATGAAAATAGACAATTTGATGGTCTACCTGATATATTATATGAAAAATATTTAAGTAATTGCAATATTTTGCAGTAAAAAGTCAAACGTGTGTAACATTTCCAAACAAATATATAATAATTTCCTTCATAATCCTATACAGTCCATACATACTTTACATATAAAAGAATTTTGTTATTATTTTTACCACAATATTTGCAACAATATTGTGATATCTCAACGAGAGATCACAAATGACTACATATACATGGGTACCCGGTGGAAGTGTAATTCGTGCTGTTGACAATGTGTTATTAGTTGTTATAAGGAACGCATAGTTACCGTGATCGCGCGATGAACGTCTGTTATATGAAGTTGGGGAGTTAAAGAGAATCGGCAAGGCTATTAAGAAAACGGTGAAGATGGAATCTCTGGTGTACGCGACAACCGGAAGTTCTACGGTTGCATTGATGGGCATCAAAGGGGGATAGGATTGAAGATTTGTCTGTAAGTACACGCGATAAAATGAGCTAACTTCAACTTGTCAGTGGAGAAAAGAAACAAATACGTGTTGTAATTAGTGTAAAAACATGCCGACTCTTAATGACACTACACTAAAAGTGAGCCAGAAAAGTGTAAATATTCTTTTGTTTTTTTTCTTTTCAAATTTAAGTGGTTTGTTTTTGCTTCGTTTCATGCGGTGAGGCGAAGACACTTGTTACATTTATCATATAGTGCAGTTATCGTATTGAGCAATGGTGAATGATAGATCAAGCGCGAATAATCGAATTAGCACGACAATTACACGAGTTTGTCTTGGCTCGGATTCTATTTCACGCTCAGACCATAGTTGTATGTTTTATTGATATTAACATTTGCTATGAGATCGATATGTAACGTTATCTATAATAGTGTCCATTGTAATAGCGTCACTTGTAAAAACAAAATGTAAAATTAACCGACGTCGTCGGTGAGAAGCTTCGTTAAGAATTTACGAATCGACAAGCGCGTCTATCCTATGGTGAAAAAATACTCACCTTGTTCCTTTGTCGTATATTGAAGATACCGTAGATGATGGGATTCATGCAGGAGTTTGTACACGCAAATAAAAAGAGAGCCTTCTGAATGCGTTGGTCGACTTCCCGGGCTGACAACCGATCAATCCAATACCTGTTTTGCACGCGTTCGACAATATAATACTTGTACAGTTCGAAGTTCAACTCGATCCGGGATGTTATTATCTAATCATTTTCTTTTTCTACAAGACGTGATTCACATGACACCCGTATCGATCACGACCGCGAATGTTGGTCGTATCGGCGATATTTGTTTCGTCTTTCATATTATAAGCCCACATTTGACGATTACCATACTGTTTCGTACGTCAAGACATCGTGCTCGCACGATTGTGGTAGTATCGCGTAATGAGTCCGACAGAATTAATAGTACTTACCAGACGCTCATTACGTAGTAAGGGGTCCAGCAGATAATGAAAACCGTGATAATGGTTATTGTCATTTTTAAAGTGCGCACTCGCGCTCGACTGAGAAAGCTGATCGATGAACGACGTATTCTATCTGTAAGAAATGCTCCTTTAATTTATCGGCTGTTTCATCCCCGATTTACAGACGAGTTTTAGATAGCAGAACAATATGTACACGAGAAAAATAGTTTCGTCAGTTTCATGATTGAATTTTTGATAAAGTTGTTTGGTAAGTGTAGGGAAAAAGATCGGTAAGGGGCAGGAAGATTCCTGTCAATCATTGCAACCAAGTTTTAACACAGCTGAATGTTTAGACATGAATGCTTTTAGTTGCGGTAACAAGGATATATCATTCCATGTCGCCGAATTTTCATCTGATCCCTATTCAGTTATACAAACCAAACTATTTTCCCGTGTATCTTTATCTCGAAGAATAATATAAGTCTGTGAGATAAATTTTCAAACAGTTTTGAGCGTTCTCGTTACAAGATTGCGTCGATCATACCTTCATTGGATCTGCGGCAGATCTCCATGAATATGCTGGTATAGGTATAAAATATCACGCACAGGGGGAACCAGAACATTGTCGTCATTCCGAAAAAAAAGTAAAACCGTTCGTACTGGGGCGACGAGTAAGTGTTGAATGTTACACACTGCGTGAAATGAATGTAATAGGGATGCGTCTCGAGATGGAATACTAGTATCTGCGGAAAGTTAAGCGCGGAATAAATTACTCAACGTGGCTGCAAGCATCGTCAGAAATTATTCACAAGTTGGCGCACCTGCGGAAAGGAACACAATATGGAGCCCACCCACGCGAGAATCAGAGTTATTTTTTCTCTTCTGTGAACGCCCAATATCTGGAGCGGTCGCATTACCGCGTAATATCTGAAAATTTATTAAAAATTTATTAACGGTTCGATAAATTTCGAGCAAGTTTCGACTTGAATGAAAAAAGCTCGCAAAAGTCGATTGTATGGTCACTAATTAAGTAGTTGCTCTATTCAGTATTGGATAACTAATTTTAACCAACCAAGCGACAGATGCGCGTGGCTAGGAACAGCCAGTCGTTTATTAAGATACACTATGATCCTGACCTGTCTATACTTATGCAGACAATTACGAAAGATGAAAGATACAGGCCGAATATTCTGAAGAAGGACATTATACGACACATCGCGTCCCCCGCTTCCCATGACACCGTAATCGACCATCCGATTTCTAACGGCATCATCAGGAACGTCACCTGAAAAGAAAATGATTGGGTCCGCTTGTAATTGACTTATTAGTTTATACAAGGGACTGTAAAATTATATCATCTAACTTTGCGTTCTATCGCATGTATCTTTATATATTGTGTTATTGTTTAATTATTTTAATTATTATATTGTTGACAGTATTCGATAGTCAGCACTTACGAAGAGATCAGCTATCGCCAGGTGCATCACCAGGGTATTTATCCGGGACTTGGACCTTTGATTTCGTATTATAGTCATTATTAGCACAGCAATATTTCCAGTCGCCGATATCACCATTAAGATACTATAAGTAATTATCTTTATCATGTGGCCCTGATTGAAGTACATATCGATCGGCAAATCTGTATCGTTGTATTTGCTGCTCACCCCGGTTTCGTTTAATCGCAATGTCTCCTCCATACCGTCGAGAAACAAATTATTATTTCATCTGAAACTGTTATTTCCGATTTTATGAAAAGATGTTCTTTTTCTCGAACAGTTTTATTTACGGATTAGAATTTAAGAGATGACCAGAGCGAAAAGAAAAGATGAAGGATTTCTATATCCCGTAACGCGAATTCATTCGGGACACTTCACGATCGCACTTTTAGCTTAGCAAGTTTGGGAAACATAGATCGAGACAATGCATCTGCTCTGTTCACGAGGCGTTTTAGCGGCATATTTCTTAAAGAGAGAGAGAGAGAGAGAGAGAGACGCCGTCACCACGACTAATATTTACTAGATTGTAGTTTATTTACGGCTTGCGATTTGGCCTTTATATGCGGAATTCTAAATTACGTTTTAAATCGTTTTAAATTACGTTCCATCGAAATACTACCGCTATTCGATCTTATTTTCAATTAAATTATCAATTTTATTTTCAATTAAATTATTAAACTATTTTCATAAACTATTCTGAAAAATCTTTTCAGAGGGTTAAGACTATTATCTTAGGGAAGAAAATACTCAGACTTTTGCTTTTTTCTTTTTCTGAAACATTTCGTCTTACGTTTAAACTCAGATCGTTGCAGTTTCAAATTTAGGGCAATCGCGAGCGCACCGTACATTAGCTAGACGAGGTACTCGAATATGGATTGTATTTTAAAGCGACATCCGTCGATCGCGAACTCTCTTTGAAATTGCTTTGTCTGTTCGTCGTCAACACGACAAGCCACCCTCGTCGCGCGGGGTGTATCGCAATACTGATTCGATTTACTTCACTTCCCGCCGATCTGCCGAAGCTCGATCAGCGCAGGTCCGAGAGCGTCGTAGATATTGAAGCTCGAATTAGCGGGGTTTTTTGGTACTTTGGAGTGGCCGCACGGATCGTACGAAGTTCGTTCGGCTGTTTTCGTTAGTGGCAGAGAAAGAATAGGGGCAGCGAAAAAATGCGAGATTACACGGACCTCCTATCTCTCGCTGTTCCGCGCCGTTGCGCGAATCTTAATATTAAAATATCAGCGAGGATCACGTTCAAAGTTCCAAATCCGTCTGACATCATGTATCAGACATGCGCTGCACATGGAGCTAAACTTCGGCCCCGGGGCGCAAAGTGCATCGGAAAAACATGTAAAGATATCATATATTAATAAAACTGTTTTTAACTATCTGCTTCTTCTAATTATCTGTCCTGACGGCTTTATTTCATCGTAGTTTCGAGACGATTTTTTAGAATCGAGCGATACGGAGGCTCGCTCTTGCGAAGTCGGTAGATTCTACGTGTAGCGTGGGCAAACGTATGAAGAATCCTTCCAAAATGGTCGCAAAACTCTACCGAGCATTTTCATATTGTTTTGATTGTTATTTGTTTTGAGTATTATTTAGCGAACCGGCAAAACTTATTGAAATAATATGTAGATAATTTTCCTGCACGACGACGACGAGAGCTCTCTCGTCTGGGTAATTCCAGAAATTGAATACGCCACAGAATGTGTTTCATTTCGACGAGGGAGAAATATTTCTCTATATGTATGTCAGAAGAACATGATTTCCCTCGACGGACGCCGATAATTGTCGCGATCTCTTATCTGGATTCTCATTATTTTTGCACGATATCGCGGACAAACGCCACCACGCTAAATCGATTTGTCTCGAATTCAGTCAAACGGACATTTATGCAATTATTCCGCGGTTAAAAAAAAATTGTCGGACGTGTCTCCAACCTTGACGCTTAGATTAGATTAGAATTGTTAACTGCGTTTATGTTGGACCGGTCAATCGGAAGACGCCACTTAAGAAAATAACCGAGAACTGTAAACAGAGCTGTTCCGTACAATAACATTCCGCGTGATGTAACGTTGTGGTAAAGTTACTGAAAGGGGTCGTCGATTCAATTAAAAGAATTAGCTCACCCTCTCACGCGATCCGCGTATCGACGTATCGATATACGGCAATTTACCGAACAATGAAACCTGATTAATGTTCCGCGTACTTAAGAAAAATTGTTACGTCTATCCGTTGCGTAGATAGAGTCACTCGGAATTAAAACATCTTGACGGGGACTCAAAAACCGAACTCTCTTTTAGATGCGTATTCGCGGAATAATTCTCGTCGTGGTTTACTGGCCCAGCCAGTGAATAACATCGATATGACAAAACGTCGATATGTCGACGATTCACTCCTAACAAGGACGATGTTAGATAAGACTCCTTACGACGTAAGAATCGTTTAATTTATTGCTAGCATGACTTTTCTCTCTGTCTCGAATTCTTTGCGACTTATATTTCTGACAAACAGGAACGGAGCAACGCAGTGTGACTTTTATTTATATAATATAAAATATCTAGATTTAGCACAAACTCGATATAAATATCTTACTCGACGTATAAATCTTATATTCCAGTATGTCTGAATATGTTAGCTCTCAACAATTTTTAATACATATCTTGGACGTTTCCTTCAAGTCCAAATGATAAGTACGATTTAGAAGGTTCGCGATATCGGCAAACGAAATCTCAACAAGTATTTTTATCGGCGTGAATGAGATTCAAACTTTTACCGTTCCTCAACACCTGTTCCTCGACATCCGCGGCAAGCGCGGGCGATCTCCGCGTGTGTTTGCCTTTTTTCGACCCGCGAAGTTGTCGGCACGTGACGGCTCGACGAGAGAGGCACAAAAAACGGGTGCGTATATCAACCACTTTCTTACGAAGAAAGGACTTCGAGTTTCGCGCGTGGTTGCGGCGGTTGCGATTCTCGCGACGCGACAAGCTCGCAATCGCGAATTCGCAAAGGGCGCGCGAAAAAACGGGCGACTTGTCGCGACGAATATAATTAAGCGTCGTCGATGATCGACGAGAGACTGCGGTTTTCGCGGAACGTTCGCGATTTACCCGCCGACGCGGAGACGCTTAGGCCAGCGTCAAGGGTCAAGTGTCAAATCGCCGCTGATAGGACTGTAACGTGTCTTTAGAGTCGGTGCTGCTGGATCACACAGTTGAAGTGTGAGCAGCGCGATGATACGTGAGAAAAACTGCCGGGATCAACGTGTGTGGACCGCACTTAAACGACTATTGACGGGTAGTCGGATATTATTTATCTGCTAACGCTGAAGGCGGACAGGTTCTCGAGTTCACGAATGCTCGTCGCACACTTAGAGCGAGTGTTGAAGACAGGCAGCTGCGAATTCTTTCGCCTTTTTATTTTTGAAATTTCCCGATGGGAAAAATTTACTTATATACATACGAGATTTGATCGTAGTTTAATCGAATTTGCCGAACATTTCTCGTGAGAGATGTGATTTATTTTTCGGAGCAATATTTATCTGAAATTAATTCGTCATCATGTTACCACGTAAGCACATGTTTACGTGCATGTTTACATAATATTGTGGAACGGGGTCATAGGTTTAAGTGGTGGAATTGAACGAGGTGAATGACAGTCGAGAGTGGCGATAGTTAATCGTAATCTTTGCGAAATATGGCACGCGGATGTTATTAGAAGTGCAATAACACACACGAGGATGTACATTCTCCTAAAAAAAAAAACGAGCATTACGAAACGATGTGCGTGTCACGATATATTTACGATATTATTACTCTGAGATAATTTATAAAAAATCCCGCTTATGTGCATTATAAATTTCCACCCTGAGATTATTATTATCTCCAGTCTCCGTGCATGCACATTTTACTTACTCAAACGTCTCGGTTCTAATCGTCTTCTGGCTTGTATTTCGTATCGCATCATATTTTTTGTCAAAACTGTTAAGAACATGCTACACAGTATGTTCGTTTTATCGATAATAATTAACTGTCATTGTTCTCATCTGTCAATTCTCAATAGCGCGACATACGATTGTGAATACAAACACTCGATATTTATCGAGTATTAGCGCGTAACGAGCTACGCTGCAAACATATTATCGCGACAACTTATGACTTTATGATATAGTTGCATCTAAACATCGCAATCAGCATTGCTAATGATTTTGCGCGTGTTGTTGGCACCCAATTTTTTTGATAGCCATTAAAAGTTGTAAACGTTATCGCACAATTCAGGCTTTTTTACAGACGTAGAAAATTGCAGCGTAAGATTCAGTATTCGCACGTGCGCTGGCAATAAGCGACGATAATTAATTAAATCGCTGATAAGTAAAAAGCGATAAGGAAATGCTTATTTAAATTTTTCTATCTCTATCTGAACTTCTAAATAATCTTACATATTTCTTACATAATAAAATATCCTTCAATATTTAAATTTTGTTTTATTCGGCCAGAAAAAATTCACAAAATTAAGCTGTAATTTTGGAAAAAATAATGATAACGAAATAGTTCAAGAAACATTTCATAACGCAAACTTCCTAGTTTCCAGATATATTTCAGATATATAAAGTTTCATTAATTTGCAGCTCGTTTTGTGTACTTTATTAGTACATATTATTTGTAAAAATTCTTCAGAAGAACCGTGTTATCTCCCGTATTTACAAAGGGAAATTATACATAATTTACACATATTTATAATTATATTATTTCGTCTTCTGCCGATTTTATTTTACCAAACAACGAATTGTAAAGCTCGTTTTTCGCGGAATCTGTCCATGTATCGTACACTGTGATAGGCGCCATGAAATTCACCAACTTATTATGAACGTCGTATCGCACCCTTCGACCCTTTGTCGCACGAGTGTCGATTTTTCTCTTCATCTTCCTGCGCATGTTTTGTAGTTGGATCCATTGTTTGCTAAGTTGTATCGGATCAGTCAGATCTGCCGATTTATACTCCATTAAATCCCTCAACATCTGATGATAAAAATCGTCGTCGTCGTAAATCTCCGGATCGTATTCTTGAAGTCTTCTGCCATCGTTGTCGTCAGGTGACAATGGTTTCCCAACAATGTTGTATTCGGAGCGTTTCAGCCGAGTTTTCTTTCGCAATTTACCTATGTCGCTCATGGCGAATTCAATTTGCTTCAGTGTCGTCTGGCCCGCGCTCTTATTCAGAGAGCTTGTGGCAATCCGCGTTTTGTCATTCCACTTTTTGATAACGGAATCTCTATATTCTGTGTAGGAGTTGTGGCTCTCTCGTAGAACACGCTCATAATCATTATATTTGATTCGTTTTCTAGGCACTGGTTCTTCAATTTGTTTTGTTTCTTCATTAGCAGACGACATCTCTCCATTGTCCAATTCATTCTCAGTGTCTGAAGGTATTTCCTCATCCATTGAATTATCAATGCTTTCGTTCTTACCATTCTCATCTTCTTTTCTTTTCTTAGAGCCAGTACATAGACTTTTTGTTTCAGGATATTGCTTAAACAAAATTTCTTTCAGTTGCAACATATTACCCAAGAGTAACGCCAGTTTACTTTTGGTTTCATTGATCTCTTTCACAAAACTCATGTTTGATCTGAGTTCCTCATGTGTATCGTACTGTGGCATTTGATTACTAGTTACAAGACATTTTTGTAGCTTTATTCGTATTTCCAGTAAATTTTCCCAAAGCTTTAGTTGATTTCTAACACAATTCCCTTTTTCAATATCTGCCCTAACATTGGTTTCAGACATAGTCTTAACAGCAGAATCCTTCTTTCTGTAAAGGGAATTGTTTAAATCCATATCACAGTCGTCCTCTAAATCAGACTCACTCTCAGCAGCTTCAGATCCTTGCTGGAAATCTGTCTCTTTGTCATTTGATTCATTACTACTTTGTTCCAGTGTACTTTCTATCTCCTCTTCCTCTGTGATTTTTTCAGAACTTTCACTTTCCATGCCTTTGCTTATGTCATCTTCATCATCCTCATCGCTATATATATCTTTTCTCGAGACCTTCTTACCAGCATACCTGCGTTAATAGTTGAAAATTATCTTAATGATAAAGTTCTATAGTAAAAAATTGATAGTTTATACACGTTTCGAAATACAAAACACACATCTCACCTTTCATCCACTTTATCCAGCGTATCGACATTTTGTCTACGAATTTTCGATTGCCGAAATTCATCGTCCGAAGAAACATTCTCATCGTAATATTGTACTATTTTAGCCTTTGTCTCATCCGTTTCTTCATCCGAATCAAAATGCACTGGCTTGCTTGTTATTAACGAATTTATTTTATCGGCCAAACTCTTTTTTTGCGTTTTCAATGCCATTTTTCTCTATTCCTCAAGCAGTTGTTCAACATGTGCATAAGTAAGCATAACCTGCATCGGCTTTCACTAATGGCTTCTGCACACAGAACACGGCACATTCCTCGCGCGGCGAAAGTTGATGTGACAGATGACTAAACTAGGGGTGTTTTCCAATTGCTTAAAGGAACGTCTACATTGGAAGTAAATAGCAAGAAGTAGGAAGTAAGAGTAAGAAATTGACCAACCACAGTCGAATGTGAGAAGAATAATCAACTATGATTGGTCAATTTCTTATTTTTACTTCCTACTTCTTATTGCTTACTTCCAATGTAGACGTCCCTTAAGGCTGCGTTCGGAAACGTCACTCGAGTACTCTCCCTCTCTTTTTATCTTACTCCAGTATTTCGCTCACTCCAACGGCTATCGTCTAGTAGTATGCATATTGTGTGTTTCCGAACGCAGCCTAACCATCTTAACACACACGTACATAAAACCAGTGTATTGGTCACATATTATCTAAAATATCTTGTAAGATAATATGCAACCAATAAACTGGTTTTGTGTAACACAGTATACGCAACATCAATGGTGCTATTGACGCTTCTGATTGGCTGTCGCAATAAGAGTTGCAATCGACTTGCAACTAATATAGAACAACCTTTAGTTGCAAGCCGATCACAAGCAGACGCAATTCTTATTGCGACAACCAATCAGAAGCATCAATGGTGCTATTAACGCTTCTGATTGGCTGTCGCAATCGACTTGTGACTAATATAGAACGACCTTTAACTAAACTAGCAGCAAAACATGAACTATGTGCCATAGGCTTAATGCGCGTTGTACATTGGCCTTTCTTTAGAAAGAAGAATTCTTATTGGGTATCGTTTATTGCGTCTAACGTGTAAAGCCCATATCAGGGATCAATCATGAATCTTTTCCTCTAACGTGAACTCGTGAAAAGTGAACATTTCTATATGCTTTTACACTATACATTTTCACTTTTCACGAATTCACGCTAGGGGAAAAGATTCATGATTGACCAGCTGACTACGGATTAAGGCTGCGTTCCGAAATTTACTTCCAGTACTGAAAATCTATAGTTCATGTCACATATACTATAGAATTTCAGTACTGGCAGTGAATTTCGGAACGCAGCCTAAGATTGAGATTGAATTGAAAATTAGCTAATCAGAGCAAAATTCACCAAACTTGAGCTTAGTGAATTTTGGCTTTGATTAGCTAAATTTCAATTCAATTTCAATCCTAATCTATAATCTGATGCGGACTTAAAGGATATTAGGTGTAAAAGTACAAGCAATGCGAACCTCTTGTGACATAGCACTTTTTCTCTGTTTACAAGAGGCTAGTGGTCTGTTCTTTTCAGTTGCACTGCTGAATTGGTACAATAAGTTAGAGTGAGAAAAAATATACTTGTCTCATTTTAACTTATTGCATCAGTTCAGGGGGTCGATTGTGTATCTCAAATCGGAGTGAAAATGACAAAAGTGAGCAAATTTACTAACATATTTGTAACTTCATTGGACAATGACTAGTGAATTTGCTCACTTGTAATTTTCACTCCGCTTCAAGATACACAATCGACTCTCAGCAATGCAGCTGGAAAGAACAGACCACTGTTCTTTTCACTGCTGAAGTGCTATAAGTTATGGCTTTTGCACACAGGACGCGGTAATGCTTGCCGTGCGGCAGAAGTTCGCGCAACAGCTAATCAATATGCTGCTTTCCGTAATAACCTTTCAGTTCTTACGGAAAAACAACATATTGATTGGCTGTCGCGCGAACTTCCGCCGCGCGGTAAGCATTACCGCATCCTCTGTGCAGGAGCCATTAGAGTGAGAAAACGTATATTTGTCTCACTTCAATATATTGTGGCTGCGTTCCGAAATTCACTGCCAGTACTGAAATTCTATAGTTCATGTCACGTATATTATAGAATTTCAGCACTGGCAGTGAATTTCGGAACGCAGCCTGTATCAGTTCAGCAGTGCAGCTACAAAGAACAGGCTTAAGTTTTGTGTACATGTGGTTTTAATTCATTGGAGATTTACGTACGCTAAAATGGTGAGTATTAATCTATTTATTTGTTTTGTTTGTTATCATCCATTTCTGCTTAACATTTTAAATATTTTTTTAGTATTCTTTAACTCATAAAATAGAAAATGCTCACGAAGACAGTATATGGACTTGTGCATGGGCTTGCCCAAAGAGGAAGAAGAATATTCAACTTGACAATGAAGATTCACAGTAATAAGAGTTGTTTCTTTTCCAATTAACAAAGAATTAAATTAGAATTTAAATAAAAATATCTTAGTTTATATTAAATAGAAAAAGCTTCAACTGCTATATTATTTTACAGTGACTCCATCCAATCTAATGAAGAAGAAACAGTGGAGTATCTTGTGACAGGTTCTGTGGATGATTCTGTAAAAGTATGGGTGCCACAAGATGGTACTTTGAAGATGAAACATAAATTAACTGGACATTCTTTAGGGGTGGTATCCATAGCTGTTAGTTCAGATGGATCGAGTAAGTAAACTAAAATTCATGATTTAGGGGCTCAAAGTACTTTTTATATATATTTTGTACTATTATAAATTTATAGAATGTGCATCTAGTTCACTTGACTCAAGTTTGAGATTATGGGATTTACAATCTGGCGACAAGTTGTCAAACATTGAAGTTGGCCCAGTGGACATTTGGACTGTAGTCTTTTCTCCAGATGATAAATTTGTTGTATCTGGTAGTCATGCTGGTAAAATACATTTATACGGAGTTGAGAGTGGCAAACAAGAGCAGACATTAGATACCAGAGGTGGAAAGTTCACTTTGAGTGTTGCTTATGTAGGTAGATTTAAATAAAGCCTCTAAACATTTGTCATACAGTTTGTACTGTACAAAGAATTGTTTCAGAGTCCTGATGGTAAATATATTGCAAGTGGTGCAATTGACGGAATTATTAATATCTTTGATGTTACTTATGGAAAAGTTTTGCGTACGCTAGAAGGTAGTCCAAATATATCCAATATGAGAATATCACCAAACTGTGGAACATTTTACTGTTAAGTTTATATTATTTAGGTCATGCAATGCCTATCAGATCACTGTGTTTCTCACCAGACTCTCAGTTGCTTTTAACAGCATCTGATGACGGACATATGAAACTGTATGATGTGTGAGTAAAACATAATTTATTATTTATTATATACATTGTAAAAAAATCTTAACACCAGCAGGAACAACTGAATATTCTTTCAAATTTATTTTTTATTTATAGCAAGGATGCAAATTTAGCAGGAACAATGTCGGGGCATGCCTCTTGGGTACTTGGCGTAGCTTTTTCACAAGATGGACAACAATTTGCATCGAGCAGTTCCGATCACACAGTTAAAGTCTGGGAATTAGCACAAAGACACTGTTTGCATACATTTAGGGAACATAATGACCAGGTATATATACTGCTTAAACTAATCATTTTCAGTTAAGATGATGTTTAACATTAAAGTTTCAACTAATTAAATTTTCTTAATAAAAGGTATGGGCGGTAAAATATAATCCACAAAGGAATAACGTAATCGCGTCAGTGTCCGAAGATAAATCTATCAATTTGTATGCATGTCCAATGTAAAATAAGTAAATGTGTCGCAGTGTGAGTATGTGTGTGTACAAAAAGGTGAATAAATATTTTATATCTACCATACCATTTATTCTGTTCAGCAGTCGCAAGTATACTGATGACATACTCGATTCGAGAGTTTAGATAAAGAGAAAGCATTTTCAGCTATAAATTTTATTGTACTGCAAGTATAATAACGTACGAACTATAAGAGATACTTGGCAAATTTAAAGCGCGAAATCTAACAAAAATTATTCTTAAAACCTAAAGTTGTATGGTAGAAATGACGGTAAAGGAGAAGAAGAGTTACAAAAATAGTCTTGGTGTACAGACCAAATTCTGTTTCTCGACGAACAACGCAAAGATACCCTGTGATTGTGTTCCAAGTTGACAGGGTTAAATCTAATTAACTCGAACTGGAACAGGGTATAAAACTACTTATACCGAGAAATCCTCAAACTAAATTAAACATAACAGATTCCGCTCCGTGCCAAGCGATCTCCTTCCTGTGAGAGAACTCGATAATGACTCGATTCCCACGGAAGGAAAATAGACACGAAATTAAGTCAAAAAAGAAAAATAATATATAAGAAAGTTCGCGCGATTGTATGTTTGCGAACGACTCTCTAACGAAAGACAAAGTGACATCGAATGATTAAATGTAAATGTAACATTTTGATTTGAAAACTTCTGAATCAATTGATCTGTACACTTTTTTAAACATATTTATCTCTGAAGGAGTAACAGATTCGATTTGATGGACACCATTCACAAAGCAAAATGAATTGGCGTGCGACGAAAGTAAGAGGGTACGTCGTCTGTAGACTAGAGAAACTTAAGGTAATGCTTATAAAATCTTTCGTCACGTTACTTCGTAATGCCGTGTTTCAGCGAACTACTTAGACCGCTACACTCACAGTCGAATACAAACGGTACTACCTCGTTTACGATTATAACTTTCACGGTCGACGTCAAGGATGCTCGAGCTTTTTTTTCCAGATCTCTTCATCGCCTTACTTCTTATCAGTCTTTCGAAAAGTAATTGGACTTTGTATCCGCATTTTCAGGGGGTAAGGATGGGGGAGGAAAGGCTATCGAATCGGTTACGATAGAAACAAAATTGCAGGATCGCCGCGTCCTTTCCCCAATCTTCTCTTTTCCTTCTCTTCTTCGAGTACGAAGATGTATACAGCGTTGCATCGTCATGTATCGCGGTGTATGTGTGTATTACACATCGTACATAGGTTTTAAAACACGTACTACTAAAACTTTCTACATTCCTCACTCACGTGTCCTCGGGAGATACCTTATATATACAAAATTGAATAAATAACCGATCAGAATCATCGCTACGCCGCTACTTATGGATTTTCGACTTCTCCGCTTCATTGTATCGGTATTACCTTATATCATGTATATATACAACAGACAAAGTGGACAAGGAATGGTCTTCAGGCGAATTTTCCGCTGATACGGTTTTCTCTTCTCCTGCCGAAGTTACTGAAGAAGTTGGCGTCGCGACGCGTACACGATATTATGGATATTATACGTATACCAGTGCTTGCGCGGAATTCCCTGATTTTTTAGGCGTTTTTTGAGAATTAATTCTACCTTTTTTCTCTTACCTCTTTCACTCACCCGTCGAGCGTACGATTGGACGGTCGTTGCGCTCTACCTCAGATCCGTGAACTTCACAAGACCTATGGGATTCTCCTAATTTTGGAAAAGTTTTTGCCGAAACTAGTATTCTGTCGTTATAACTACAGTAATATACATATGTAATATACATATGTTGATAGTGTTGATAGAAACGTATGTTATATACAAAAATAAGCATAGAGGACTAGTTTCACAAATTAGAAAGAATCCCGCAAGTTTTATGAAGCCAACGATCATGAGGCTGAGTGCAGCGATCGTCCAATCGCAAGTTCAACGGGTGAGCGGAAGGGAGAGGAAAAAAATAGAAGTATTCCTCGAAAGTCGCCTCGAAATTGCAAGTAATTCTGAGCACTGATGTATACCAATGCGTGGGTATCCTTTATATTTCGAATAAAATGTCGAGAGACGAAATAACTACACGCGTTTCGACGCGTATCGTACAACGAGACAGAAGAGAGAAACGATTAAATTACCTACTTGTAATGCGTATCACATATCATTAATGTGTGTATGTGTATCGAGTGTATGTGTATGTACGCGCGTGTGTATGTATGTGATGTGTCTATGGGCAAACATATATAGCAAGCGAATGTACAATGACTAGCCTGGGAACGAAGAGGAGGCGATATTAACGGAACTTATTTCGTCAAGAACTCGTCTTCTTTCTTACACCGTCGTTACCCTGGCGGACCCGGTAACTATCTCCGCGCGGCAATCCGACGCTTCGAATTTGCCCTGAGCTTCGTCCGTCGACCTAGCTCCGATCTGTGTCTGCGATGGAATGTCTGGTCTCGGATTGTAGTTGAAGGGCGGCACAATCGCCGAAGCGGGCGTTCGTATACCGCTGCTCCCGTTCTCCGCTGTCGAATCCACTCGAATGAATGAGCCAAGCCTCGATATCCTCTTGCTGGGGTCCGTACCTTCCGCTCCAAAATCGGCGGCGTTTTGCTGTTTCCTCAGCGTCACCAGGGTGTCGACCAATTGCGTGGCCTCCCTCTTACACGATTCGGACGACTTTACTGGAATCTTGCAGGGCGCCTCGTTGGCGTTCATACCGGTCAAGTCGCACGAATTTCTGTATTTGATGCCACCAGCAGGTGCCTGACAGCCCAATACCGGCGGTCGCTTGGATTTGGACTTGTAGGGTGACGTTTCACCGCCGCTGTCGTCCTGAGAGATACCCTCGAACGTGGAGCTACGGAACAATCGGAACGCCTGCGGTTGATTGCACGCGACAGGTGAGACGTCCACCTCGGTCGCACTATTAGCTGGTCTGATCCACTGCCTGGTGTCCGGCTTCTCGAAACGCTGCTTGTTCTTGCTCTCCTCGACTTTCTTCCAGAGACCCGCGATCTTGCTGGTCGCTTCCTTCGCCAGTTTAGCGCGATTTTGCACACCCGCTGACGCGTTGGAGACTATGCTGGAGTTGCTGTTGGACCGTTGCCCGAGAGGACCCACCTTGCGAAAGGTTTTCGTGTTATCATTCTGTGTCACGTTCGCGTTGCCGTTGAGAACTGCTTTCGCCGGCGCGACTATTTTCCCGGAGGATATTTTCTTCGGCGCCATCATTAACGGCAGTCCTTTTGGAGATTGTACCTTTTCAGCGCTGTTGACCTTTGTAATTTTCGGCTGGTATGTTTGATGCGTCTTGACGGAAATCTTAGACTTCCCCACCGCCGGATATACCTTTGACGAAGCGCCTCTGATCGGTTTTGCAATCTTCGTTTTCACCGGCGAGGCGGATGCGGAGTGCACCGTCGGCGCGTTCTCTACTTCCGGCTCGTCCTTGGTGAAAGTACCTTGGCGTTCCAACGGTTTGACCGGGACCTCCGGCAATTTACCGTCGCTTTGGAAGTTCGACGAGCATGCCGGAGGTGTACTGTGGCGCTTGGTGGACTTGGTGAAAGTCAATGAAGATCCTTTCTGAGGCACGGACGCTCTCTTGGACATGACTGTTGTGTTTCGCGTCCTCTTCTCCGTATCTGCAGAAGGTGGAGTCATCTTCGAGGAGTCTTTCGCAGCGACAGTTGTGCTGTTGTTGCTCTGTCTCAAGGTGGTGGCTCGGGTAGTTCTAACGATGGGCGAGGTGTTGCTGCGACCAATAGGTATTCCACTTACCGGATTCACTTGCTTCAACGGCGAAGATTGCGGAGTCGGCTTTCGCGTGATCGGATTCGAGTAGAGTGCCTTTCTTCGCCCTCGAATTGCCTTCGGGCTTCCTGGCTCAGACTTGTCCGTCGCGTTGGAATCCGCACTCGCATCTCGACCTGACGCACCTGGCTTAATTATCCGTGGCCTCTTCGTTTCCCTTGGCTCCTGTTCCTCTTCGTTGGACTCTTCATCGCTGTCCGACTCAACTGGATCTGCAAAATCCAGATCCTCCTGTACGAACTCTGCGTTTCCGCAGCGCATCTCTTCGTCGTCGACATTCATTGTAGGTGTTTGCGTGTCATCGACCTGTTGATTGCCTATCAGTTTCTTGGAGAGTCCGTTTACGAAGCGCATCCTCAGGTTCCGATCCGATTCGGGTTCATTCGATGCCAACGTGACAGTCTCGCAACGCAAAATTTCTTCCGCGACAGAGTTGTTCGCTTTGCTCGATTCGTTCAGGGTGTTCAGTACGATGCTGGCGTTCCGTTGCAACATGCTCTGAATTTCCTCGCGTGCGTATCCTTGCGCGTCCGCTCGCTCTTCGTCCGTCGCGTTGGTGTTCGAGACGGGATTGCATTCCATCTCCTTGAACACGGTTTCCGAATCGTTTAACGTTCTCGTGCGATATCTTTCTTTGCTCTCCTGGGAATCCCCGCGCTTCTTCCGCAACGCCCTGCATACGGGCAACTTTGTGAGCGTCGGAATCGACGATTTCGTGGGAGATAAGACTTCCTGTTTCTCGGCGGGATTGAATACTTGTTGCACTTCCTCCTTGTTGGTTTGCGCCACGTTCAGATCTGGGAAAGGATTTTCCAGCACTTGCGTCTGGAATCTTGCTCTGTCCTCTTGTCGACGTTGCTTGGGCGTCAGCTTCGAGAAGGGAGAGCACTTGCCGCGCGGAATTTTATCTCTTTCACCGCCGGCACCCTCCTGTTTCCGGCGTTCCTCTTCCTTTTTTACGATCTCCGCGGCGATAGTGTACGTCCTGTATCTATCCTTCGTTAAGTTGCGCTTCTGCTTCGGCGTCAGGTAGCTTTTGTAGAGCCGCTTCTTCGGTGTCGACTCGGCCGAACTACTGACGCAACATTCGGACGAGATCGGCGTGGCTCCCTCGTCGGTGTCGTTCTCCGCCTCGTCAATTACCTCCGCTACGATCGAGTGCACAGCCATCTCGTCGGTATGCAACTCCGTGTCGATGCATAAGGTATCGCTACAGAGTGTGTCGGTGGTAGCTTCGACTGTGGACTCGTCCATCTCGCTCACCTCGTTGAACAACGACGGCGGATTGATGTTCTCCAGACACTCGCTCAGACTGTTGCTCGCGCTGCTCTGCATGCCCTCACCGGTGTAACGCATGCACGTTATGGAAAGCACGTTGGCCACCGGCTTTAGCATCTCGAATACCACCGGATCACTGCCAGTCAGACTATGCGAGTCCTGTTCACGCGAATCCGCGATCTCCGACGTGATGCTGGCTACGCTCAGCATACTATTCTCCATATCACCCACATCCGGCAATTCGTCCATCATGGATGGCGGCTTGACGTTCTCCAGATGTGAGCTGGTGCATTCGTTCAACAGATTCTCCAGACTAGTGGTGTGACTCTGAGCACCTTGACCGAGCGCCCGCTTTGCTACCACGCCGAGCGGCAAGGATTTCTTTCGCACGTTCCGCGGATCGGTAGATACGGACGAATTTCTGACTTGTGCCGGCGGTAATGACGTGGAGTAACATCGATCTCGATTTCCGATAAACGCTTCACTGGTGTCGGCGGAACCGGCGTAGCTAGCGGTCAACGACAATAAGCTACCCATTGAAGACGGAGGTTTGATTGCCTCGAGGTCAATCGATGTTAGACTCGTAGTTTCGAAATCGTTTTGGTTGTTCGCCTCGGCGTCCACTGCTTCTGCCAGTTTGATGGCTTCGCGCTGAATGATCTTTGACTCAGTCATGCTCGTCTGCTCGCTGTTTTCCACTTGCGTGTTCTCCGACATGTTGGTGCGTTGATCTTCTTGCGCGTCGCTGTTAAACGAGGCGACCAGCGGCGCGCTCATGCTGATGCTGGGAAAGGAAACGTCGTTGGGAGAATCTTCGTTCCAGGTGTCACTCTGAGTCAGGCTTTGCTTCATCGTGTTGGAGTCTCGCTCGCGCATCGCCTCCGTCTGTTGCACCAGGGTCGCCGTCAGCCGATCTAACGACGCGATCATTGCGTCAGGATCTCTTTGCCGTCTGTATGTCTCTTCTTTTATATGCTTCTCTGCGCTGTCACGGTGCAGAATATCCGACGTCCTCACGATCTCGAAACTTGCCGCTTCTTGCTTGCAACTCACGTTACCATCGGTCTCGCATATTTCCTCTGTAACGTTATTTCCTTTTATAAAGTCTATTTGTTTGCTGTACGAGTCGAGTGGCGGTTCAGCGTAATCTGTATTTCTCTCGTTAATAGCGATGTTACTTTCGGACTTGATGCCCGGTTGGATACACAGTTCCAGAAGGGCATGCTCAGACTGTTCGACAGAATCGATTGATTCGCTGCTTTCGGAATCTTTCGTGAAGGACTGTTTCATCGACGGGTTGTTTGTCATCTGATCGTGGGCTGTTGTTTCATCTGCTGGTATAACTGATACCTTTTGGCTTGTATCACCGTTCGAGAAGTCATTGGACGTTGCATTTGTGCCCGAGGATAGTTCAAATCTTTGTAATACAGGCACTTCTCTGTCTAACAAATTATTATCGAGGCTATTATCATCTACCGTCGTCAATGCCCAGGCGTTATTTGATTCCTCAGTATGACGCATATATCCCTTATTTGCGTTTGTTGTCATTACCTGAAAATATCATATTTTTAAACATAATAATTATAATAAAAATTAACATGCGAATAAAAGCCCTGGAATCTTACTGTGTCCGTTTCTAGTCGAATGTTCTTTTCACACCGTTCGTCACTTTGCCATGACACATTGTTGTCCCGTTTTTCTTCTCTGGTTTTTTCAGATAAAATATTTTTACATTGCTCTGCAGTTCCAACCTCGGTTATTCCATGTGCCTTCGTGTATTTTATATTAAACGACGGACTATCAGATTCAATGGTTTCATTATATTCGACTTGATCTAAGGCAAGACTAGTTTGGTATCGAGTCAAATTACTTTCTGATCGAGGTAGCTTTTCGAGGTTATTTCCAATGAAGGAATGTCTATGCCTATAAAGTTAAATAGTCTTATTAAGTTTTCGGCGTCGTTAGTTACATCACAATGATTGTTTGATTAATAATATTTCGTAAAACTTTACCTATTATTTTGCATTCCAATATTAATACAAGCGGCAAGTAAATCCTCGTCATCCTCGTCTCCGTCACTGACTTGATCTAAATATTTAGAAATTTCGTCCATTGTATGTAAATCGAAATAGATTTTTCTTACGTATTGCAGAATTGTATTTTACTTACATCCTGAATCATTATTGGAGGTCTTTAAATTAGTGCCGTCGGATGGAAATTCAACGTTATTCGGTGGCAAGTCATTTACTTTGCAACTGTTTGCTAGTATAGCTTGCGACTCAAATACCGCTTTTGCGTCTATAAAATTACGTTAGTTGTTAAAATAAACGCCTTTTAATAAGTTTTAATCGTTTAATAAGTTTAATAAGACATAATGAAAGTCTGGATTTACTTAGATTAATGATTCTGGAACTGGATTCCCCGTCGTGATCATCATTATATTCGGAAGTTCCTAACACCATCGAAATCGGTGTCGTCCTTACACTGCAAAATATCATATAACGTAAAATATAAAATATTACGGTTAAAATAACATTATTTAATCAAGTTTCATAAGAATACCTCGAGTGGCTTTGAACGGTTGTATCCACTCGAGTATGTTCAACTTGCTTGTCCAAGTCCCCTTCAAGATATGGCAATGAATGGTTTCCGCTTTCGTCGTCGGTGAGATGCGTTGCGCCTCGTAAATTCAACTCCACTTCCGACTCGACAAAGTCGTTCACTTTCGACACGTCCGTCAAGGACGACACTTGGCATTCATCATGTTCCTCGGCATTCCTTGCCTTATTGTACCGCTCCGGTAACCTTTTCGAGCTCCTTATACGACTATCGTCCTGGAGATCGGACGCGGAAGTGGCCCTGGACGAGTTCAAGGATGTCTCGCGCGGCGTACCTTCGGTGTAGTAAGTTCTGACCGTGTCCTCGTGCAGAAGTCCTTGATCGTTGCCCGAGAAGAATCCCGAGTGTTGTTTCTCGTCGTCTACAGTTTGCTCGCCATAACGCAAACTGTAGTCAGTCGGTTGATCCAAATCAGTTTCAGCGTAATCGCCAAATAAGGTGGCGTTCGGACCGATCGTGGACGGTATGGTCTTCTGCATGCTATTCAGTGTTTCGTGTTGGTGTAAAAGTGTTTTTTCCGCGTAGACGTTATCGAAACTCGCACTCTCTTTCGTGGAAGAAGCTTCAGGCAAATAGGAGGTTGGTTTCGAGGTATCGACGGCCGCCATCGTTCGTCGGTAATCCGACTTTGCGCAAACGGTCGCTTCAGCTTCCTCGGAGACGCTGGACTGGCTGCCTGCTTTGGACGAGGACGATACGCTATGATCGATCGGCGACATGTTGTTCTCGATGGAAGAATGTAACGAGATCTGAGAGGGCTCTTGATTGGACGTCGTAGTCCACGATATGGTGGAGTTGGTGCATCTCAACTCGTTCACGTCGACGAAACAACCGTCGGGCGGCCTGAGACGTTCGGGTATAGCGTTCTTGTAACGCAACGTGTACTTCCTCTCGGATAGGGTGGCTTTCGCGTGACCGTCGCTGGGCGCACCGACGTTGTCGAAACCGACAGCAGAGTGCAACGACGAGGATTGCTGTTTGATTTGCGAATCGGTGGACGTCATGCCGTTCATAACATGACGATTTACCCTTTCGAACATGGTGTCGGAGTGCGTGCTGGTGACGGAACGCATAGAGTCTCTACTCTCGCTCCTAGCAACTCCGTTGCACTTACTGCTGCTGCAGGCTGCTGCGCTCGATGTGCTGGGTTGATTGTGCAGTTGATAAGAGCGTAAACCGTGGGCGTTGATACCGAGGAAGCTATGATCGAGCTTGAACGTAAACTTGTCATCCTTGTTGGTCGGCGACGTGCTCGGTTCGATGTTGTCGCACGTCTCAGCTAGATTCTGGTCTATCTCCTGCTCCAGGGCTCTCTGCCTGCGTGCGACCAGACTCGGTAGGGTTGACAGTCCGAGTCCGCGAGCGGTGGAGTCCAGGTGAACGAGATTGTTGCAGCCCGGCCTAGCGCTCAGCAAGTTCTTCAAGGCTGCGCTCGAACCCATGGAGATCATTTTGTGCTTTGAGTGGACGAGACTGCGCAACATTGGCACAGCACCCAAGTCCCAGAGAAGACGTTGATCTTGCGGACATCTCGCCGATAAATTCCAAAGCGCCCCGCAAGCATTGCTGACCACCGTTAAGCTAGGCGATCTGAGTTGCTGCAGAAGAACTTGCAGACAGCCTCTCTCCCTCACGATGGTTCTGTAGTCCTCTCGGACCGCCACATGACTCGACACGTTTCTCAGTATACCGCCGGCGTTTTCGACTATCGCAAGCGTCTTGGACGGTGCCTTGTAGCTCAGCATATCCACGAGGAATGCCAGCGCACCGTCCACGGCGCAAATGTCCACTTTATTCGTGCTACAGTGCGCCGAAAGATTCCACAGAGCGGATAGTATCGATTTGAGAGTAGACTCCTTGCGGCCTTCCATGGCGGCTCTCATCAGACCCGTGACTGCTCCTACTTCCCTCAGGGTCTGCTTGCTGCTGCTGTCGGCGCGCCAGGACAAGTTTCGCAAGACACTCGCCGTCACCTGTCTAAGATCATCGCTGGGACTCCTCAGTTGTGACACGAGGGCTTTCATAAATTCCTTAAAGGAACAGAGCAAGGCCTTGTTGTTGCCGTCGCCAAAGGTCAGATTAGTCAACGCCATTCCCGCGTAGCGCCGTAACGTGATGCAGTTCTGGTCATCGCACTCGCTACCGTGAGCCAGGTGATCCATTTCGATGAGTTCCGCGACCGCGTGGAGGCCACCCAATTGGCACATGGCGTGACGATGCGCTTCGTCGAAGGAGAGTTTCATGAGGGCGGCTATCGTTGCCGCTGGATGTCTCTCCAGATCGTCCGTAGACTGACCTCTTTCCAGGGATATCCTCAGGGTCTGACAATAGTCTCGCAGCTGTTCTAAGAAGCGGAGCACTCGTGCCTCTCGGCGACCGGCTCTTTCATCGCTCTTGGCGTGTATCACGTTGTGTAGCGCCTGCATAGCCCGATCGCGGGTATCAGGATCTTGTCCGGGTGCATGGATCAGCTGAACCAGCAGCGGCAGGCATCCAGACTGCCTCATCACTAGACAGCTGTCTATGGAGGTGCTCATGGAGAGCAGCGTGGTGCTCATGTCTTCTCGGCCATTCTTCTCCAACATACCCAACAAATTGTACACCACGTCCACCTTGGCGCCTAGTCGTCGATGACCTTGCGATTCAGCAGAGTTGCATTCGAGACCGGCGGAGTTCGATGAGAAGCTCATTACGCTCGCCACATCCTGCATGTGGAAGACACATTTCGTATGCGATTTTTATATTCTGTCAGACCATACAGATTTCTAACAGAAAACGTTTAAATTCGCGTGAAGATCGTCATCATCGTTTAAACATCTTTCAAATAGTTTATAGATATCTTTTGCATTATTGGAGTATATATGTCTGAAAACTATCCAACCAGCGCATGTCCTTTCGAACAGGCAAACACATCGCGGAAGGACACGCGGTGATTTCGGGATACATCGAATGCATGCGAGAAAAATGGCACGCAATACAATACACCGTTATAATCGTTCAACTTACATTGTGTGCAGCGAGTGATGTGCTCTGCTGGGCCGGAAAACCAATCTGCTGATTAGCCCATACGTCTCTTCTGATGGGCCATGTGCCACGATACGAAGACGGCAGCCTGTGGCTACTAGGCAACGAAGTGTCGTGCTTAATCTCCTCCTCGCTGCTACCATCCTCGTTGTAACGCTTACTTCTCCTTATGTAAAACTGTGACACAAAAGTTTTTGTTCCTTAACACAGTTTGTTAAATTTTAAAGATCATGATATTACGTACAAATAAGAAATTATTTTCGTTATCTTAAAGTATTAAAAAGAAACAGTTTTATGTTTAATTTTGACATCGTTAGCATCACTCGAACACTTCGAATAAGACAGGAACGAACGGCTGTTTTACATCTGCAATTCATCAATTCTTTTTGTGTCGAGTTGTGTATACAAGAGGGATGTGCCGCAACGTCGCGGAGCCTGAAATTTTCAACACGTGCACAAGTGAGGATGAGGAACAGGGGTTTCTTTCTCGTAGCGATGCTGCACACTCGTTTCGGAGGGTGACGACTTAAAGGGCAAACCCGGCGAAAGAGAAAGGTCGGAACGATGCGAGTAGGGAGGAGAAAGGAAATGCATGTACATGTGCGTGAAGAGAGGGAGAATGGGAGAGAAGAGAATGGACAGAGAGAAAGAGAGGGAGAGACAGAGACGAAAGGCGAGGGCTCCGTAAAATCAATACGGGGCACGTTAGTGAAGGTGTATGTACTCGTGCGCCACGAGCACAAGGCAATTCGTACGGCAGTGGTTTTCAACCTTTGGCCCTCTTACACAGAAGTAATAGATTCGTCGAAATAAAGATTCCATTCATAAAAAGGTGCGCAACATAGGCAAGAATTTTCCTATTATATAAAACTATTACATATAAACAAATAAATGTGTTGGAATACGATTTAATTCTCGTGAAACTGAGTATCTCGTGATACTAAGTTTTCTCAGATTTATAATTTTATACTTGTGGAACATTTACGATAAATTTGTGATGAAGACTTGAAGTTAATAGATACATACTTATAATAAGATATTACTGAGTTTTAGAATTTTGCAGCGGTGTCATGTTACCAGCAGTTTAAATAATTTAAATTGTAAATAATTAATTTAAATAAACAGATAGCAATTCTTTCAAGAGTGTCGGTGACATTCTATCGACTCTTTAATTTATATCGATATGAGTAATATAGACACAAACTCTTCCCATCTACACAAACTGGATTGATCCGCAACAAACACTAGCGTCGGCTCCCACCACGGCAACCATCTTCACTCTCGGGAAACACATACTCCACCGATCAATCAACTCCGAAACTCATTGACTTGTGCACCCCGAGTAGCAGGGCGGAATATCAAAAAAAAGTCACAGTGCGTACCTCACGCACTCCCGCATGCGTGACCGATCGTATTTGAAAACGCTACCTCAGGACTCGGCGTCGACGAGCGTCGCTCGTCCTCCTCCTTCGTCTCCGGCTCCATCGCATTCTCCTTGTTGATCTCAGATGCAACGGCACAGGTCGGGTAAATCCGCAGCGATCTCGGCGCGGTGGCGGCGGCGGCGGCATCGACGACGGTGCTTTTCGCAATCGCGGCGCATCTTTGCGTGGCGGCGACGGCGACGATGACAGGGTTGAACGACGCTGCGGCGTCAGCGGCCGACTCCAGCCTGCGCGATACCGCGACACTGCTCAGGGGCGGCGACGGCGGTGGCGGTGACGACGAGGTACCCTTCCGTCTCTGGCCACCCCACGCAGTGGTGGTGATGGTGGTGGTGGCGGCGGTGGTGGTGGTGGCGGCGGCGGCGGCGGCGGCGGCGGCGGCGGCGGCGGCGGCGGCGACGCCTTCCACCCCGACGCTCGCCGCCGAGCCGTACAGCACGCGGCCCTCCGTCGCGCGCGATCTGTCCCGGCAGGCTTCCGCGTTTTCCTGAAAAAGGGAAAAAAGGACACACGTTAGTCCCGTGACGGATGAAAATCGCACTAAGCGACAACAATGATCGCAATATGCATTGGATTGCTGTGAAAATCATATTTGTCGAATAAAGTTGCGGACAAGATTATTCAAAGTATGAAAATTTATATGAATAAAATGAATTTTTCAGACGAAAGGCGTTAAGCCATCGATCGATTCCTTACCATTTTCGTCAGTGCAGTGGCAATATATTGCATATGAATGCTTTTACCATTCGCCATTCAATGTAGATGGTGAATGCCAGTGTGTATATGTGTGTGGGTAGAAATGTAAGAGAATTAACATTCATTACCATATTTAAGTCGTTACGCGACGCGAATCAAATATGTCCCGTAATTAAGCGACCTGGTCCCGACAGGTTTATATCGCTTGATTTAACGTCGCTCTTGTGACTAACTCGTTTGTATCAGTCGTAGACGATAAGACGGATTTCTTCTCATTACTGGTGAAAGCGTGAAACTGAATGCATTCGAAATAATTAATTTACGTATGTAACTGTATAGAAGCACTTTGGAACGCGTACCTGAAACGCGCTCCAAAGTCACGGTACGCGTATAAATATCATCGCAACAATATCGTATTCGTATTTAAATAAACAATAGACAAATTGAAACGAGACTTATTGTCAGAGTATCATAAAACATGCATCTAAATAATAAATTATGAAATGGTGGTGATCTGCGATACAGATACGTATGTTAGCATTGTATTACAGTCGCAGTCTGCGCCGTTAACTAGCGCGCTTCTTACGATATGATTACTTGCGTAATTACGTGTGGGCAAGGCGTTTTATCGCATCGTGGTTGTACGTTCCGCGGCAACTTCTAGGCTTCAAAGCAGGCGCGAAACCTCAAAGAAACGCACTTGCGAAAACACGAGGTATAATAACAAGCGGAAGATAAGCAACCGTGAGCTGCAACCGTGTACGCATTCAATGTGCAAGAGGGGTACATGTGTTTACAACTGAAGAAACATAATTTATGCCTAAGCATTACATGAAAGCTGCAAAAGATCAATTCTGGTCAGACCATGTCAATACGATGTCGGAACACAAGCTCGTTAATTGTCGCGGGCTATTGTGTTGAACTTTTTTTTATCCAGGTTATTACCTGGGCCCAGTCTGGGCCATCGGCCCCCGTTGCTACCTTCGACGGTATCTTAATGAATATCTTAATGAGTCAAACCTTATAAGAAAGCTAGACAGTAAGTAAAAAGGAGGCAGCCTTTCGAGTCCGCATTTCCTTTAGCGTGCATAATTAAACGCGTTTAACCCTCTCGAACGAGCAGAAGCGTGCACATCCCGATTGTTCGCTCGATATATACTTTCACTGTTTTCCCTGGCGTTCGCGCCGTCAAGTTCACCGAAATTGTATACACTTCGGATAATTGAATTAAGCCAGCTGTCAACGTGTAGTCAGACGGATTGGATAAATTGCAGCCTTTATCGGTTAATGAAACTCGTCGCCGTATTCGCGATTCAACGTGATTCAAGCGACTCTTCCGCGTGAAGAGGATAATCTTCATCTCATAACGAAACAATCGGTCGCGTTGAGCGACTCGTTAAATCGCCAAGACGGAAACTAATAGGACAAGGTAAGAGACTTTATTTAGCTTTCACCCCGTCATCGTCCGTTTCCTTTCTCCCGCGAGCTCATTACCCGGCGACCGTAAACTTGCTCCAAGATTGGAAAGATATGCTCATCTATGCAAACAAAAGTTCGCGCGCACCCGTAGAATTCGCGAGGCGTGTCCGCCGCGGCTGACAGACAACGAAATTAGCCCGCGTTATCGTCGTGATTTGTCGAGTAAACCTCTCTCAGGTGAGCGAAATTCGCCTTATTGAACCGCGTGCCGTTACGAGCGTTAGCAGCGCAGATGATGCATCACGATAAGCGGGCCCATTTAAGAGGGACAGATCCGACAGTTTAATGACTCGGTAATTGGCGAAATGACTCACTCAATTGCGATCGCGGCAAATAGATAGCCGCTTTCGCAACGACGCTGCTCGCGGTCGCTCAAGCACTTTATTCATCTTATCCGCGAAAACGCGACATTATTATCGTTATTATTGTGTATTCAGTCTCGTAACGGCGTATCATTGTCAAGCGCACGGAGGAGGCGCGCTGTGTCATCGCGATCGGAAACGATGACAATTGCCGAAAGGCGGTGATAATTCAAGGAAGAGATGACTCGTAGATAGGCGATTTGAACGCGATAATTAGCAGTGACGATCGTGACTCGTTGGCGAGCGAAATCCCGAAAGCGGTTCCACACGAATTTTATTTCTGAACACGGCCAAGCGAGGAAGTGTATTTTAGTCACGAACGCAGTTTGTGCGTACGCACATAAACTCCGCGTGAATACTCGCGCGGGCGTCTTCACGCTCGAAGGCATCTTTTTGTCATTGTGCGCGCGTTATCTAAGACCGCGTTAAATAAGCGCTTCCGTTCGAGAAATCTAGACTGCGACGGGTGTTACGTGTTTTTCAGGCGCAGCCGCGTCGTCACATTGTGACTTGGTCTCGGTTTAATCGTGGGAAATATCGTGACGAAGCGAATCACCCGCGTTTCTCGAAAGGAATGTTCCGAAATGCGGCCGAGATTTGTACCTTACTTTGAAATCTTTTAAATCTAATAAATCTGCATACCCCACCAAAGTCTGGAATATCAATAATTCTCAATACCATAAAAGTTAAAACGTTGTGAAAATGACGGTAAATATACTTTCAGTTACATGGGATGAAACTATTTAGAACAGTAAAAATAAATTTGGTATACCGCCAAATCGATCAGCGAGAGCGTTCACCATAAACAATCTCGAGAGCTCGATACCAAAAGACAAACGGAAAACAGAGCATGCCGATCGGTGATGCGAAAACGACGAGAGTAAATATCCGGTTGGTGATGCGAGAGTTGTCATGTTGCGTCCTGTTTGTGAGGAGATTTGTTCGAATCATCTTAATTGCTCGAGTGTCCGAAATACTTAGGCAAGTGTCGAATATTAAGGCACGAATTTTTACGTAGTTTCGAGGGAAGCTATTGTGACCGCGATTTTGAATCAGAAATTATTGGCCGTCACATAGAAGAATATAACTCAAATTAACAACGTCCTTCTAGCACGCTCAGCGCAATGTAGGAAACAAATATAATAATATAATTTAGATGGATTATTTGATTACGATTGCAGTCTAACTTATACCTTGCCCGTCGAAATAGTCCGCCTAATCACCTTTTCGTCCCGACGCGCGATCGTCGAGCAGTTGGCCGCCGATACTCGCCAGTTGTCCTGCGACGCATCCTCTCGCATGCCGATACGCTGCTCCTTATCAAGGACGTCGCTAGCGGCGACGGCACCGTGGTTCTCCATAATCAGTTTCAGTCGATTTTTCTCCGTCTTTGCGATCTTCTGGTTCTGCGAGGCGGACGCGAACTGGCCGGTGCGCGGAAGCGGGATCATCGTGGTCAGTCCTCGATTACGGGGATCCGGCTCGCTGCCGCCATCGCTGCCGCCGCCGCCACCGCCGCCCGTTGAGGATTCTCTACGTTCTGGGATGCTTCTTCCGCCGTCACCTCCTTCTCTTCCTTCTCCACTTCTTCTTTCATCGCCAACTCCTTCTTTAGCCAGCTGGTCGCGAGTTTCGCCCGGCATCTCGTCGCGTTTCGAATTCAGTCTCGTGGAACATTCACTTGCTCAGGAACCGTCCGTTTTCTTCGACACTCGTATAGCCGCATGAATACACATTGAAAATTGTCACACCGAGATCGAAAACACCTCGACGAACACTCTACCCCTCTTGGCGCTCCGGAAAGATCTCTCTCTCTCTCTCTCTCTCTCTCTCTCTCTCTCTCTCTCTCTCTCT